AATAGCCGTTTCCGTACTCAAAACCTTCACTTCTATGTAACCGGTTCTAATAAATAACAGATCATTACAAATATTTTTTCACGTTCTGTCAATGTGCTTGAAGACCTTTAAAACACATTAAAATATTTCTTTGCGAAATTCAAATAGGATACCTTTATATTTTATCAGCCTAGGACTCACTCTTTTTATATTTAGAGTAGCTACTTGACAACCACTGGACTCTCAGGTCTAGCATGACATGTGAATTGGAATTTAATTATTTTATGAACGAACAGAGGTAAAGGTTACCATAATAGTAAATGTTAGACAGTAATTGGAACGTTAATACATAATGATTCAAGCTAAATCAAGAGCCAACGAAGCGAGTCAATTCCATAGTCAGTCTGTCACGGAAGACACGGCTTGACCACTGGGCGAACATGGACATCAAAATTCCAATAACTATTTGCTTTTTAATGCTCATAGGCACGGTACACGGTTTAACATGCGAAGAATACTTAGAACTTCCCACAGAAGATAATCTTTCCATATCAGACCTACAATCAATGCAACCGGAGGACGTGGTGCAATGTTTACTGCAACTGGGAAAGGAAAGGCTGCCACTACCTGAAGCCGAGTTCATTTGGAAGTCAATTATAAAGTTCTACGACGGCATCGGGAACATTCCAGACGAAGTGCTCGGCGTTCTTCATTGGGTCACTATTGCGATAACACCAGAAGACTATTCAAACATGACGCTGAGCAATATAGACGTGATTCAAAATTTCGGCTTAAACTATAATTTAAACGAAGACCAACTTTCAGCTCTAGCAACTCGAGTTCTTGAAGATTTTGCGTCGAAAGAACCAGAGGATTATACTTTCTACGACCTTACTGCGATCCGTCAAATCCTATGCGCGTTCAACAAGAGCATCATTGAGAGGATCCATCCTTCATCGTACAGAGAAGCTTCTATAATGATTGGCAAGTTAGAGAACTGCAACGCTGAAGCCATGTCAGGGTTCGCTACGTTAGCCGTTCAGAAACTGGCATTTGGATCGCCTGAGAATTGGGGCCAGAATGTTATAAAACTAATCGGAAAAGTTGCTGACTATTTGCCTAAAGAATTGAATGTTAAAATCAATTTACAACCAACCAAAACAACGGCTGGAAGCACGGACCTGCAATGATTGCCTACAACTTTCGTTAGTGCTCGATTTGTTACACCTGATTGTTCCATGTTCGCTATACACTTTATCAGATTGATTTCGATAAGGTTTTTATATGTTTTGAAATTCAATCGTACTTGGTCTCACGTTAAGGTTAAAAATTGAAGGTTTGAGTCTAACATTATGACTAGCTTAGAATAGTAGCTCACTGGATATCCTTGGACTAGAACTGATAGGCCGAAAGACGAACGGAGATTACGCAATCAATTTACTGTTGAAACACTTTTTGACCGATGAACTCTTGATCATCCACGTCATTGTATCAAAGTCAAATTTTTGATTTTCTATATATATGTACTGCGATATAAATTGTATAATATTCTCAATTAGTTCCGTTGTTAAAAATTGATCGTGCTTGACCGCTATCGTGAGTGATACTCATCGAATTTAATGGAACAATGTTTTTACCGTTAACCAATCGCTCGATTTAGTAACATGGTCTTTTGTAAACAGGATATTTAGTCAACAACAATACATTCTAGTATATTATTCTGTAGCTCATTTTCCACGTAATATGAGGCCTTCAGTCTTTGCTGTAATTGGTGTAGAAATTGTTAGTATAATCTAGGCACTGGTATTAATACCGTAGGTCATCTATATTATTTGTGTTGATTAACTATTTAAGTAATGGTGTGTTTTCAAGACTACAATGACACAATTACACACACAATAAAATAACTGGTATTATTATTTTATCATATTCCTATCATTTAGCATTTGATTATTCATCTTCGACCTAATTCTCGAGCAGCAATCATTGTTTTGTGAAACCGAAAACTAAGAGAAAGTTGTAACAAAACAATGTTATTATTAATCAAATCCATTAAATCGCTATTTGTGATGATTCTATTTGAATTGAGGTATTGTTTGCGGTGATGTAAAAGTTAATAAGCCTCGAAACTATATTACGAAACGCATAGGCCGTAGCTGTCAGCTGCGAGCCGCCAGCGTTCTTATTGTTACTTCATACTCTTGACATTCAACCACACAACCACGCCTAATAACTATATCAGTGAACAAACTCACTTACTTAAGCTGTCACTATTGTGTTTCTTTTATTGCGGACAAAAGCTTTGTCTATCTACAATAGATACTAGTAGTATATCTATCTATCTATCTACTCACTGTTACGTATTCATAAAGATAGTTAAATATCAATTTTGTTGAATGAATTTTGCTGTGTCATTCTTACATCGATATTATCTAATAATTTTAAGCAATATCTTTTATCGAATCGTTATAAGGTTATGTTATGGAGAATAACAGGTTCTATCGTTTTTAATATGCTTAGTCTTCTTCTAATGGAGCGATAGGAAGGGAAGTATTGATGAACATATTATTTTTAGTCCCAGTAGGATCAATAATCCAGTTGTGTATATATACCTTTTCACATAATATGCAGGCATACAGTTAATATCACTCTTATTATCCGTAATCTACACGTTATTTAATTCTGAATTGTTGTACTTTTTTTCTGCATGAGATTAAAAGTAATTGGCTTATTCGAGTCTATTATATTGTTTGGCAAACAAAGGAAAGTTAACGAGTACTAATGATCTAAAGACGAGGTTTTCTTTCCCACGATGCATGAGGGGAAATACTAGAATTTAGAGAAAATAGTTTTAACGTTACTGCTTTACGTATAGATACAAAGAATTGCTGGTATAAATTTGATTTAATTTGTTGCACAATACAAGATATTTGTTAAGTGAATCGAACTCCTCTAAAAACCTCTTTCTTTTTCTCAATGTCAAAATAATATAACTTAATTGAATTCTACTTACTTGTTTTATAAATAAATGTGAAAGTTTGTGATAATGTTTGTTTATGTTTATGTTTGATATTATTTGTGGTAATAACGACTGAACCGATTGGATTGGTAGGTAGGTATGTTAATAGGTGATACCCACAAATACATCGTCATTTATCAACATACTTACTAAAAGTAAAAGCATAGATTCCCAAAATATGAAAGCTTGATTATATTTTATATTACTAATTAATAAATATAATAATTGAAATAAGTTAAATTGAATTAAAATTCATAAAATTGATTTGATAATGCTGTAAATTCCATAAAACTTAAATTAATGTTTCTACTGGATTTAATATAATAACTACTGTACTTATGTGTGTGTAATGACAATGTTTTTGCAAATTAAAATGTCCTGAGTAAAAACATACTTTTTATATACTTATTCAACATACCACGCGGGCGAATCCGTAGGCAGAAGCTAGTCGCTTATAATACTTAGCCAAACTACGTAGCCAAAAATGACTGCAACGTCACGTCACATTTTCAAAAATAACAAGTTTGGAAAACACGGTCACCTTGAGTTGCCCGCCTCTCTAAGATCATGCATACATTTGGGATCAACTATGCTATTCTCAAAAGTTATTTTGCAAAATCACTTCTAAATCCGCAGTGAAATCATGTTTATTTGAAGTTTCGTATCGTCAAATGGAGAGAGTGAGAGTGAAGACGGATTACCTGGTGGTAAGCAATCTGCGCCGCCAATCGACACCGAAAATATCAGAAGAGTGCGTTGCCGGCCTTTTGGAGATTAGGGTTCTGGAGATTTAGGAATTAGGAAAGAATTTTGTTAGGGATGGCGGGAAGGATTGGACCTCCGATAGCCTCACTCACACGGCTAAAAAATTATTCGATTCTTTCACGTTGGTATTCTGTGAGGCCGTGGTATCACTTCGATCGAGTCGGCCCATTCCTGCCGAGACATGGTTCTCCCACATCTTACAAAATTACATTTCTGAGTCAAGAAGTAGAAGTTAGCCTGAATAAATACCAATTAAGTTTTCAATACGTTTAAGGCATTAAATATTATCTACCTACCTATATATTACAACTCATGTTTTTTGCCAAAATCAAAAGTAATCCTTTGATAAACATAATTTTAATAGGAAGTTAAAAAAAAAAAGCTTTTGTTGTTGTACTCTACAAAAACCCCCCACCTGGACACTGCCATGTAAAATGATGTACAGAGAAGTACATTGTCGTAAAACGATGTATTATTCAAGTCGCTAGGTCACAGTCATGATAAAATTCTGCGTGATGGAACCTCTTTGTGCAGTCAGTTATTATTATTATTACATAAAATGTTGTTTAAACTCCTACATTAGTTTAAAACGAAGGGGTTACGGCAGTAAGCCAGGCCGGCCTAGAGACCCAGGGCGAGAGAAGACATTTGATGATTTATTCCCTCAAAAAAGAGGTATATAAAATGAGTTTCCTGGCGTCATTATTTGAACACAATAGATATTAAGTACAGTTAGATGATCCCCTATTATGGAATACGCAAGTTTGTTTGTTATTAGTTCCATGCCCTAGATTTTCGTTACCATGAGCTCAAATTTATCACTAGCAAATAAATTAACATTTTTATTTTAAGACCATGCTTCTATTTGATGACGAAAATTCTCAATAAACAATTTTGTGGTTTGCAATTATGTTGAAATAGGTTTGGGTGAAAATCAAAAATTAATAGTTTTTATACGAAGACCATAAAGAGATCAAAATATAAATTTATGATCTTAGTATAAAAACTGTAGGTCGTCTTTTGGTTAAAGCACGTCATTGGGTTATTTTCCATCAAAACAATTTTGTTAAATAATGTAACACTCAGATATGAATTTGTCACTGGCAAAACCAGCTTATAGGACTAAGTAACTAGTTTTTTACCAAGGCTAAACTTGTCTTCCTCAGTATGCTAAAAAACTGTTTAGGTGGTAGGCCTTCTATTAGCCAAGTTTAACTTGTAATTTATTCTCTCGCAGAAGAATCCAGAAAGATGACGACCGCGAGTATGCTTTTGACGGTGGCGACCACGTGGAACGTCTCTACCGACAAAATTGACAAAGAGGGATGTCTGAGCTTAGCTACAAAGCATGTTACCGCTGAAGCCGCAAAAGAAGTCCGCGAGAGTCCTTCCACCAAGGAGCAGGCGCTGACTATCATGAGGGAGTGGATCCAACAGAACATTGACATCAAAAATGTCCGACAAGGTACGAAATGAAAATGTTGTCTATGAAATCCTTAGCTTTTACACTTGGCTTTGCGCCTGTCATTTGACTACCTAGTTACCTACCTTCACCATCTACCCTACTGTACCTACTCTACCCTACTTTAACCTGCATTCCTTACCTTTCTTACACAATTCCACCTACTCTACCCAACTTGCTCTACCTCCTTCTTCTATGTATATTCTACCTTTTTCTGATTCTAAACTTTACATCCCTACCAATTCAATGTCAGCTACAAAACATATAGAGGCCTCTCCTCCAAAGACTTTCAGATAAATTAATACTACTTCTATTCTTAATCCTCTCGATGAAATCAAACCGTATATCTTTAGCGAAATTATTTTCGCTTTAAAAAGAAAGAGAATACATTTTCCAATATTTGATATTTGTTCACAAGTATTTGAACTGAACTGAACTGTTTTCTATTTGCCGAAACACCTTCGTGTTTAGATACAATACATGAATATTGCGCCTACAAAATTATCACGCTACATAAAAACCAAATAATTGCAAATAAAATTTCAATGGTTGATTACCTTTACCTCGATAGAATTAAGCGCTTGTCAAAAACCCTGAACATCCGAAAAGAGAAAGGATATCTTGCATATTAATTAAAAATGCAAACTGATTCATTGGTATTCTAGATTTTGAAATTTTCGCAATAACGAGATCGGGCGGATTTGATTCGAATGTCGTTGGTAGATAAAACCTAGCCCATCTATCAATTATGTATTCTGTATTCTGCCACATGCACTATGAAATTGACCAATGGGGAAGAAATACTTGCAAATCTCCTACAGTTAAAAATGAAAAATTGTTGTTCGTTAGTCTTGTGAAAACTCTGAAACAGCTCAAGTGACTTGGTTAATTTTAATATGGAAATATTTTTTGAAGTTCAGGGATGGTTAAAATTGTGTGTAATTAATACTAAAAACTACCATTTTCATTGACATAATAACTGTTCTGTAAGTGAAGTTAGATATTTGGCAAAATCTAAAACTGGTATTTTTAAAAATTTCTGGCAGAACGTCGTTCAGTGAGTCAGCTAGTCAGAAATAAATACGGTGTGCATTATATACGCACTTTTTAAACACCACTGTCAGCCAGCCAAAACTTATTTTCCCAGATTTAAAATAAGCCGGTTTATCAACTAGTCTAATTCAATAGGTTCATATATTGAAATGTCAAAAAACGATAACTACCAAGAATTTTGCAAAGAACGCAACATGTAACGATTTTGTCTTCAAATCAAACAGGATGTTTATTTCTTAAAATATATTTAGCAAGTAAAAAAACTAAATTGATGCATGTATTCAAATCAATGAATGTACCTATTAAAAAATTCAAAATAAAATATATTTTTGACCTAGGAAGCTATCCATTTGTAAGAGTATACAAGGGAGATAATTTGCTTCATCGCGTCTATCTACCTTATACATTATGGTGGGGTTCTGTTAGGTTCCATAGTAGCAACAATAGTAGGTATACTTGTTTACTTTAATAATGACTCCTAAAAGTGTAATAAAATTGTCAATCAATTGTCAATGTAATAAAAGTCAATAAGTATGGGAGAGCCATGCTTCGGCACGAATGGGTCGGCTCGACCGGAGTGATACCACGGCCTCACAGAAAACCGGCGTGAAATAACCACAGCGTTGTGTTTCGCCGTGTGAGTGAGGTTACCGGAGGCCCAATCCTTCCCCTCCCCCAATCCCTCCTAAATCCCTAAATCTCCAAATCCCTAATCAATAAAAGGTCGACAACGCACTCGTAACTCCTCCGTTGCGAGTGTCCATGGGCGGCGCTGATTGCTTACCATCAGGTAATCCGTCTGCTCGTTTGCCGACCTATTAAATATAATAAAAAACAACACTTTTTCCTTGGATTGATTTAAATTTACGATTTCTATATCCGTGCTATATTTGCATTAAATAACGTCAGTTTTGATCGAACGTTCAAATACTTCTTTCATCATCATCATCATCATCAGCCTGATGTCGTCCACTGCTGGGCATAGGCCTCCCCAATACATCTTTAGCATTCAACATTCTACGGAACAGCAAGCTTTTAGAGTTGTAACATTAGTTCATCTAATAAATAAAGCAGGACTACGAGTCTGATACCCATCGGCAGAAGCTTAGACACGAACGGGCCGGCTCGGCCTGAGTGATACCATGGCCTCACAGAAAACCGGTATGAAACAAACACAACGTTGTTTCACGGGTTTCCGTCCCTCCCCCACCCTTCCTCAATCCCTTAATCTTCGAAACCTAAATTACCTGACCTCTTAACGTAATCATAACTCCAAGGGCGACGCCGATTACTCACCATCATGTACCTAGTCCGTTTGTTCGTTTGGCGACACATGAAAACGACAAATGATTCCTTCTATGACCGAAGTCCATGCTAAAAATGACCGATATCCTTTGATCAATATCGTTCCGTGTGTATCAGAAATAAAATAGGTACCTATTTAAAGCTATATCGATTTCATCGTCAAACTCGAATTGCAGAAGGACAAGTGATGCAATTTTAATTTCAAAAATATTTTTTTAACATTTTCGTCGTAAAACAATCTCATAATCGCATCTCGCCTCATTTTTATTTCTTTCCACATAAGTGTCTATTAATGTGGTTTTGGTAAACCCAAATTTTTAATTTAGGTAATATATGTAATTAAGTAGATATTAGATATAGGTACATACAGATTTAAATATTTGATACAGATTAAGTACCATTGGTACTTACTTTTTCTATGTTATACGTTAACAAGTTTAAAATCCACCTTGAGCAGGCGTGGTGATTACCTAACGCTTAAATCTTCTTCGTGTGAGGAGACGTCTTTGCTCACCAGTAAGCACATATTATATAGTGTGAAGGTGTGATCTGATTAGATATGTACCGACGTATATCCGTCTGTAAAACCTTTCTAATAAATAAATTAGCTTAAATCTGTATCAAATTCACAAAATTAGGTGCCTGCCTAAACCAAGATATTCAGGGTTTTAAGCGCGAATATGTAAAAGTAAACATTAAGTAATAAAAAGTCTTAAATAATTGCTAATAAAGTGTACGGTAAATAAGAGTACTTTTATGTTCCTATAAGTATTTTTTCAATCGATATTCTATAAGTTAGTACCTATGGTTCTTATGTACCTATAGGTATATAAGAATCCTTCTATTTTGTTCTCTACACTTTTACTTCCATTCACTCTCATTACACATGCCTGTGTGTCTGTGTTCCATTCGCTAATATGTTATCCTTATTATTTTCTCACTAGCTTCGTAGCGATAATTTATTCAAGGCTCGTAAAATAAAAGGCCTTAGACACAGCCACGTCTCATCATCAAACCAGAAAACCAGAACAATATACTAATAAAGTTACTCTTTCAACATTTTAGATGTAAATCAACAAGATCAATTATCATTGTAGTCGATCACAATAACGTGAACGTGTTTAAATGTCACACAGGCATGAAATATGGAAACCGTTTCATTTATTCATATATTCCATACGTTAATTTCAAAATATATTGTACCCCAGTAGGTCAATTATTATAAATTAATGCCAAACTAAGATTTATTTTAACTAGATTCGATTCTAGTCTTCCGTTTTATTAATTAATTGCATTCATCTGTTACAGATGAATCATTTCTACTTCGGTTTTTACGTCACAAGAAGTACAGTATCCCGATGGCCCAACAAACCCTGCTGAAGTATTTGAGCTTAAGAAGATACTATCCCGAAATATTCAAGAACATTGACTGTGATGATCCAAAACTAAAGGATATTCTCAGCAACGGGTAAATATTAAAATACTTGGTAACTATTAAAATGCTGAATAGGTATGACAATACCGCCATTATATATTAATGTTTATGTACATGTACATAGTTGCACACATGTGAAACTCACTAAAATATATAACATAGCAGTATGTCAGCGTGAACGAATGAATACACGACAATTGTATTACACAAATAGGGCTAATAAACAAAGTGAAATTAATGGTTCCAAACGGTAACAAAGCTAACCCACTAACATGGTTTCAAAATATATGCCTATCTTACGTAACACAGCTTTATTTTAGTTATGTGGCCATTTATCTGGCTCCGTAGATGTGCCAGTAGAAAGTTCCCACGTATACGCACTGAGAGCCTTGAACTCAGCGGATTGTCTCAGGTTCCCCGCATTGCGAATACGCTTCTTATGTAATTTTCACTGTGATATAATTCCATCTTGGAATTTCATAACCATTTCCTAATTTCAAGGTACATAGTGGTTTCACCGGTTCGAGACAGCAAGGGTCGTCGGGTCATCGTTTACAATATGAGTAAGGAGATTTTTGTTAAGTATGGCGTAATAATAATGAAATGCGTGCGATGCAACTGCGACCAGCATGTATACTACTATTTATATGATTAATGTAACCTTATGCGAATTAACTGGCCTGCGAAATTTTCAATGCTCGATCTAAATACATAACTTTGATGAATTGAATTGTAAAGAGTGTAAAATACTGCTTCATTATTTATAGATTTTCGTAATGCTTTGCGTCGGCGTACTTAGAGAGCTGCAGTGGTGTTCAATTTGAAATTACTTTGTTAGGTAAATTCAACGCTCATAAGTACAACTGCTGGGACATGTGCCGGGCCCACCTGCTGGTATATGAGAGCCTGCTAGAAGACTCCATGGACCAGATTTGCGGTTACGTGCACGTGGGTGACGGCAGTGGGGTGACCGGAGCACACATTACCACTTGGAATCCCACAGACTTTGCCCGCCTCTTGAAGTGGGGAGAGGTAACATTCCCAAAATAATTACCTTTAGAGTCCATTTGTAGTTTCAATCTCTATTTTTCTGTTCAAAACATAACCAGATACCTAGGTAAGCTTTTCATTTCACCTGGAGCAACCACCATCTACCCTTCACAACTGACAGTGGCAACACCATATAAATGAGTCGCATTTGGTATTGCTTATGTCTGTTCACAAAAGTCTTCAAAACGTTTAGCAACTCATTTAGTTGTACGAGTAAAAATATTAGCATCAATAAGTAGGTACATTGCCCTTGTTTGAACAACTTTATATAGATCACAAAGCGCCCATCTCCAACCAATTTCATATTTGAAATCGTTTTGCAAACCCGTCCTTGTAGGTAGGTATTCTTATATAACCATTATGAAGTAACATCTGCTTGCCTTACGTTGTTCGTGATCATAGGGAGCAAGGTTATTTTCTCGGATGACGCAAAGTCCGCGGGCACTTTCGTAAAAATTGAGCTTGAGTAAACATTAGGAGTGCCATCGGATTTGGGTGTGGAGGCACCAATCATGTAGAGAGCAGCAGGTTGCTTGAACTTAGCACCAGGTCAAAATAATTCAACAAGGAATTATGTGATTAAAGATTTTAAACAAAACCTAGGCAATTAAATGGCATTAGACAGATCATGTTGAACAGCCTGTCACGCACTGAGGTCAAACAAACATGATCTTGGTCTCGTGTTACCTATTTAATTTAATCACGGTATATTATGTGTTGCAGCAATCAGTGCCCATGCGTCACAAGGAGTTTCACTGTGTAAACGTACCGACTGCCCTCAAATACATCGTAGACTTCGCAATTAGTAAAGTTACCCCGAAAATGGCGGAGAGACTTAATGTAAGTATTTAAAATAAGCTTTACTTTCTTAATGGTATACAAGTAATAAAAGGATACTAAAATATCGAACCAATATTGTTTTTCAGATTCATACAAACCTAAAACAACTTCACCAGCACATAAATGTTGAGTGCCTACCAACGGGATACGGAGGTCCTTTGAAAATCGAAGATATGGTCAAATACACATCACAATTAATTAATGATCAGAAAAAGAAAGTTCTTGGTCTGGACACAATGGAAATCATCAGCACTAGAGGCATCATCTCTTCGAGGAGACCTAACACTATCGTAGTGAACGGAGACGTTGCGGTACAAGGGAGCTTCAGAAAGCTAGAGATAGATTAGGTTACTGTATTGTTAGTATGTTAGACTTTTAGCTGTTAGTCAATCTGTCTGTCGTACTCGTGTACCCTCGAGCACCACTGACTTTAAATATATTTTAGCACTGAAAATTGAATGCTCTGATTAAATATTATTCGTTTAGGGCCTTGCTTATTAAGATAGGATAATTGTATTCTAATGACTCTTGTATGTGTTAAAAGACTTTACAAGGTGGATGGCAAATAGAAAAATAAAAATTTACCATTATTTAGTATCGTCACTTAACTACAAAGATCTGATGGGAAATACAAAACATCTTTTGGGCGATTCTTACGTATAATAATAACGCAATATTTAATACGAAAGTAATTTATCTAACGAATAATTCGGTTGAGTAACTTTTCTATCTGATTGTTTTTCAACAATGCCATGCTCAAACTGTTGTGTTTTGCAATATCTATGTTAAGCCTCTTTAATTTTAATTTTAAAATGTTTAAAACGTGAGAAGAGCAAAACTTTTTTGCAAAGAATGGTCCAGAAAAATTCTAAATCTTCAAAGAGTCTGAGAAAATAAGTTTATTCGATGTAGTAATCTCAATTCGCCAACGTTGTAAATTAGGTATTTTAATTACTAATAAGGAAAAATATCTATCAGTTCATTTAGTGTTAAGTATTGTTGTATTCTGTCATTTCCTTTCCGCTAGCTTTATATCAACAAGGATGATAAGATCCATGACAAACTAAATAATGTATGAATTGTATTAAGATTGTGTAAAAGAAAATTAAAGGTTTTTTATATTATAAAAATTAAATTGATGTTTGTTGTTTTCTTTTCTCAATGACTTTCTAATGTGTACCTACATTTGGTTTGGTTCAGAAGAATTAATGTATTTCGTCGTGTCGTAAAAAAGGAAGTACACTATTATTTATGAGAGTTTGAATCAGATTTTGACATCTACAATAAATATCGCAAATAGGGATGGTCCCAAAATTGAACCTTGTGGCATTCCAGAGAAAATTTAGTAACCCAATCAGAACTGAAGCACCACATTGTGTTTTTCTAGATATGGAAACCAACGATATTTTTACTCTTAAACTTTCGTGATCGCTCACCTCACAGGGATATCACTAAATTGGCAAAATTCCTCATAATCACGCGTCATTAATCAAAAACAGATCATTAAAATGTTTGGTAAATTTATTTTTACTTAAACAACATTGGGACACTAATCTAACGATATCACATCAATTATTATGATAAATATTAATTCATTATAATAATATTTTTCTTGAATACAATAGTAATATTTTAGTCACTAATTTAGTCCAATATTTCCTTTTGGAAAAATTGTCTTGTGCGCATTTGGTAACGAATTGTGACCACTAGGACGAATTTATTTGTATATTCTATAAACTACATATTTACGTGTGTACTAGAAGCCACTATCGTGCCATAATACGAACAAAACAAAGACATGTGAATTTAATATTTCTTTTTTAATTAATTTTATACAGAATAATTTAAAAATATTTTACAGCAGTATAGATATAAATAGGTGGTTGTACTAGAGCTATACAACAAGCTCATTTGTGATTTATTTGAAAAATAATCTAAAGTAGATTATTACTTAACCATTATTTTTTATCGACTTATCATTTTAGCGCCTAGGACGATTTCTCTTCGATCATTTTAAATAGCCTTAGAGACACTTTTGTTATAACACAAAAAAACTAGATAGTTTCCTCATTTCTTGAGCGAAAATATTGAAGAGAATTGAAAGGAGTAGTTACTATACAAGCATTCGCCTCTATTCTATTCAACGTTTATAACTGAATAATATATATTATAATCATTATAATTACTAGTACGGTCAGTATCAAAAGTTGATGCCCACATTTAGATTTTCCAACTAATTAAAAATGATGTTCATTCAATACTAGCCCTATATTTTTCAGTGAATTATGAGTGATATAGTGTACAGTGGTTTTGAAAATCTGAATGTGTTCATGGACGTTAGATGCTGTCTGTACAATACACTTTTCTATTCATTATGACTTAGGCTTCGTTTACATTGCAGCAGTGAAATGCACAAATACAGAAATGAACGGACTGCAGTACCATCATTTAATGAGTCTTGCTATTTTATTCCTCTTAACAAACCAACAGTATAACAAAATACTCTAAATAATAAATAAAGGCATATATGCATAGAATGATTTTTTTCCATGACCGTTCACCCGCAGCTAACTGGTTTGAAGTCTTGCCAGCACAATGAATCTAAGTATTTTTTTATTTGGTATGGTAAATTAACCTATGATAAGCACCTATGGTAAGTAATCGCCACCCATGGTCACCTTCAACACCAATGGAGTCGCAAGCGCCTTGCTCGACTTTTGGAGATAAGGCGTTTACATGATTAAAGATTTGGGGAGGGAAAGGATAGGGCCTCCAGTTTAATACCTTATTTTCTTTTAAAATATTTCATTATACCCACAGCTTAATGTAATGCATAACTGTAAATAATGCAATATTAAGTTACATAACGAATGTTTATAAATAGTAAACTTGAGAACGTGTCCGTAGCCATGATCTGATCATGATCATGAGGTCGCTGACCCGCGTTTAGCAATTAACTAATATTATGCGCTAACGGATAAATCCCAAGGTAAATAAGAAAAACAATATAAAATAAATCATTATTCTTTTATTGTTTTATTTGTTTTGATATTTTACTTCAATTGACTGATCAGTAAATCATTAAGGGAGATTTTCTGTTTAACAGGGGTGTATTGTGATTTTGTTTTATATTATAATACGGCAAACAAGCAGGCGGATTGCCTGATGGTAAGCAGTCGGCACCGCCCATGGACACCCGCAACACCAAAAGAGTTACGAGTGCGTTGCCGGCCTTTTTATGATATGGGTTTTGGATATTAAAGGATTGGGAAGGGATGCCGAAACACAACGGTGTGGTTGTTTCACGCCGGTTTTCTATGAGGCCGTGGTATCAATCCGGTCGAGCCGAGCCATTCCCGCCGAAGCTTGGCTCTCCCACAAAATAATGATTGATGGTTTGATGATTTTTTTGGAGGCGTAAAAATAATCAATTGGCTTATCTCACCCTAGGTAGGGCAAAAGTACTTTCTGACTACAAATCACCATGTTCCTTCTACTTCTCTAAGCTAAGTCGAGGATTCTAAATAATTGTTATGACCTTTTATATTTTGATAGTTCTCCCAAGAGCAAATCATTTAGCTGCAGGAAAGCGGTAATTAACAATACACGCTAATTTACAAAACACAATAACTTACAACTAAATCTTAAGAGTAAAATTAAATAAATGTGATTTAATGTCTTATGTATAAAAAATGTGAATAATTTCATTTCATTTAAATAACTTATTATATACAAATAATATGTGAAAAGGATTGATAAAAATAGATGGTTTAGTGGTAAAATTGATGGCATCACGTTTACACCTTTGCTATACGTATTCTTCCAAATTCTCTTACTGGTAAATATGTCGCAACGAACTAGCTTTCTTAGGGCTGATTTTTCAATAGTTAGATATAAGTTATCTGGTGAACAATTATGATGCTGTCGCATCAGAATGTTTGTATAAGACAGTGACAGCAACAATGTTAATCCTCAGATAACATTTATCTAACTTGAAAAATCAGCCCTTAGCCATTTACCTAATGGATTAAAATACTATTACGACGCGACGCGCACACTTTTCATGAATACGGGTTCCGCTGTGACTTGAAACTAGTCGAGCTTTTCTCATTCTATTCATGTGAGTAAATCGTTATTTTCATCAAATTAAGTAATTCTCACGATAGTTACTTTTCAAAAATACTAGCCGTTTGATTGGATTGCTTAATAACTGAAAGAATCAATCAGTTAAAATGTTAAACGTCATGTCCGGTGACAATTGGCATTAAAACCGAGTAATTACAGGGATGGTAAGCTAGCTAAGGATAGAGCTGCGACCCATACAGAAGTCGAATCGCCATCAGAAATGAACGGCTACTAGAATTGTACAGCGAGTTTTCTATACTAATATTATATAAATAGGTAAAATTTGTAATGTGTAAGTTTCTTTGTAGGGGGTAATCGTATAATTGTAGGGGGTAATCTTTGGAGCCACTGGCCTGATTTCCTTAATTCTTTCTCTGATAGATAGCTACAATGTTTCAGAGTGCTATGGGCTATAAAACATCTACGATCAAATGGAGCCGAGCAGCGGGTGAAACTGCGCGAAAGTAGCTATAGTTTAGAATATGGCTATGTTAATTGAATGGCTTCTAAGCTAGTTTGATGCGATATACATAACAATTCGACGGTAAAATTAAACGGATTTATCAAACTATTGCCTAATTAATAATATTTAGATAGGACCACAATTCAATTACCTATTTCAATAATTCACGCCAATTAACTTTATATTTGACACGCCAAATTCCAAGATTCCAAATATCCGAGTCATTTTAACATATTTATCGTAAGAGGAAGTTCCGTTGTCTAAATAAAATAATATTATAATATAAAATAAAAAAAAATCGACCAATAAAAACATGTTTTGAATACAAATAACACATCTTACCTTACAAATATCTCAATAGAAGAAAATTGCAAACTTAACATAAAAATATAGTTTTTGGTATACGAATCGAGCCCTACGATATTACATACATTGGATAATGGCATCAAAGCAGTAACAAAACACAATTAAAACAATCTAGGTTCCTATACAGATTATAAAATGCATGTATTTTACGTCATATTGAAATAACACGGATATACAGGTTATTTTTTAGATATTTATATGTTCCAATTAAATGAATCAAAGTTTTTTTGGGTTTTTACTAATACCTATACTATATGTGTTTTCTCAGAAGTCACTGAGCCACAAAAATATAAAGCTAAAGCCCCGTTTTTCATCTGTTGCATAGAATAAATTAAAGCGATTATTGACTCGCACGGTCTAAACTAAACAATACCTATGACGATAACATGTAAGCAAATCTAAGATTTTTATTCAATAATTGCACTTAAATAAGCCTTAAATTATGTCTCTAAAAATTGTTCTATAATCAAACCATAGCGTTGAAATGATAACTTATAGTAGGCCTAATTTTTTTCCGTAACTTCAACGAAAACCTCCGTGGTCCCGTAAAATAAAGAAAAGAACTAAGCCCTAGTAGTGCCATAGATAATAAATAATACGAGAAAACAGGAGATTACAACTAGGTTTATAATATAAGAAGACAAGTATTGCACAAATAAATTATTTTCAAACTATTGTAGAGATTCTAAAGGTTATATTGATAAATATAAGAAATTAATTACGTAGACAACATCACATCAATGTCTGGTACTGTCATTTTTTGTAATAGATCAACAACTTTATAGACAATTGTTAAAGTTGCAAATCCGGTAAAACATCAGATTATAGGTAGTATTTTTATGGACATTAAAAAATCTTTCGACCAAACTACACAAAGGCTTATATTTACATTATAAATAATTTTTTAAGCATCGAAGAATTATTAAGTAACTACTACGGGGTCAATAAACCCAGTGACGTAGGTAGTCAGCGGTTGTTTCATTTTTTAGAACTATTGAGTAATATATGGCTTGTCTTTTAACCAGTCAGACACTTATATTATTACATCGTAAGTATTTTTTGTATTCAGTTTTTATAGAAGATGATGGAAGTGCGAAGAGAATTAAATATATATATATACATAATTTAATAAACACAATAAAATCAATGTTATAAGTATGAATAAATGTGATGTTATCGCTTCGATGGGATTGTAGAAGTTAAAGGATTCATACGAACACCTTTTTCTATTATTCTTTTACTAATAAATAATACCTTTTTTATATGATTGCACTAAAAATTATTAGTTCTTAATAAAAATGTTGTTTTCCTTTAATCGGCCTGTTACAATCGATGCAATGCGTATAACTGAGCGATAATCAGTGCATTTAGTAAATCAAATTCGAATGTTATTATCGAGAAGGCGATTAGGAATAATAACAGGATGGAGCCGAATTGAAACAATCAGAACATCAATCGGCAATATACTTTTAGTGTTCCGGGCATTGCTATCGATTCAAATATATAATTCTTACACCTACTCTCACTAGCAAAGTCAATAAAGTCACTTTTTATAAATTACTACGTACTACCAATAAAATTTCTATCATAACTGTGATCCAAATCTACCGATTTCTACAAGAAAATTGTACTACTATGTTAAGAAAAACTGTTCAAATGTACTGTTCATTCATCATTTGAAAGTAATATAGAATTGAAATTCGAAAGAAAAACGTCATTGGCACAATTCTCCAATAAGGAAAATTAACAAGCCCAAATCTATGAAGGACAACCTCGTCGTTGGAAATAACTGACGCCTATTTTAATAGGCGTAAGGTTCAATTTTTATCTGAAAATTCGTTGCTCCACTGCGGAAATGCTTTAAGGCTGTCGATCAAGTGTGTCGGCGTGTCGTTTTTGTTTTTACCAAATATACGGTAAGATGGATGCAGGTACTGTTCGCTCACCGATGTATCGAAGAAGTTCTTTGCTTCTTGAAGCTGTGACTGAGTCGGTGGAGTTTCGGTGAAATTGCCTGAAATGTATGAATAGTCAATTACTATTTAGGTACTTAGAGTTCAACAGCACAGAAAGAAAAATTGAAAAAGCAAATACTATAAGAACGATGATATGTAATAGTGTTTTTAAAAGGCAAATCTAATCATCTTAAGAAAAATGTATGAGAGAATCATCAAGTATAAGAACATTAATTATATTCACCAAATAACCTCTAACAAAAAATAAACCCCCACTTCTCGAGTGACAGGATCACACGTGAAAAACTCATCTGATACCACGAGTACCTACGTTTTTATTTTGTTGTGTTAGTTACTAAGAAAAAATATGCGAAATATGTATTTATTTATAACCTTACCTATGAAAGCTAAAAGCAGTCCAGTAGGCATTGTGTTTTTCGTCGCCTGAGGGATACACTTGAGCCAGCCGAGAGCCTCATAGGTTTGACCATTAGACGATATCAAGAAATTATACGGCAACGTGGCGTTCACTGCCGTGACGTTGTTCTGAAACAAGAAGAAATCTGTTTATTAACTGGTTTTATCAATCAGTTTACTTCCATGGCTGATAATAAGACTCCTCTGGAGTAGCATGTTCAATAAGACCACGCTAGTTAGACGGCTTGATGATGGCAGATCACCGGTAAAGATACTTATATGAAGATATACGAGGGTTTCATTTTAAAGCTTTATTGAGGGGCTTTTGTTTAAGAGGGTATGACAGCCCGTTTAAAAGTTGTTTACAATACGCCCATTGGTGACTAATATTTTAAGTACAAACGCAATTTAACATCCAGTTTATAATACTGCAATGTTGAAAGAATATCGCGGTAGCCAAAAGGTAAAGGCCGTCCGCTTCTCATTCGTGAAGCCGCAGGCTCAAAACCTAGCAAGTACCAATGTGAGTTTTTCCGATTTAACCACATTTCTTAGTTTATTTAGACCCCAATGACAAACGGTAAAGTAAGTCGACGTGAATGCGTATAATAACCATATTTAATTATATATAACTTTTAGGTAGATAAATCTAAATCAATCAATTAAAAAGAGCAAAGGAGGTGATTCGCTTATAACTTTAAACATTTTCAGGTCGCCTTTGCTAAGCAGGAGGCACTTATCCTCAGATGATATGTGAGTGCTTTGAAGGTCATATTGATTATATTGTCATCAATAAAAATCTTGATAATTATCCCTGCAGTAATAAAAAAGTAATTTTATTGGTTTCTGAAGGCAATTTGTTGCTCCTGTGCTCAATTCTTTACATTTTATAATTGCAATATAATTAAACATATCTTTTCACAATAGGGTTTATTGCAACAATGCGATTTTAGGCTTTATTGTGAGAGGAAATCATTAAATAACTTCTCCCGCCAAGGGTAGAGCGGAAGGGAATGTCAGACTCTTACTGACTAAAATCCCCCCGTTCCATCTCCTGCTCTTGTCTAAGGCCGCGGTGCCTTATTGCGGTTTTCCATCACATCAGCCCTAAAGGACCCCATCTGTGATAGTTTATTGACTCTTTGAGACGCGCTGTCAGGTAACTATTAATTCACATGTTTTTATTGTCTTGTTTGTTTGGTACTCTACATATACCTAACCAATACAAAGTTGTTTTCTTTATGATGTAACCACAACCTTTTGCTAGAAACCAACCAAATAAAATATTTTGTGGTATTTTATTTCAAGAATCGCTGTTATCATGACTATTTCTCGAAGTTGGTCTGTTTTGAATTAATCGATCCGGCCATTTTATGAGGTAGCTGGGACGTTTACGCCGGATGCAAATACTAAAGCGTATGTTTAGGTTTAGTCACTAAGGCCTTGTAAATAAACACTAACTAAGAACGTAGTTATTATAATAGTTGACAAGTTGTTTTGCAAAAAGATGTAATTATAACGTTCTTTCATGGAACGCTTATTGGAAGACCATTGGTGACGAAAGCAAAAACGTGATGGAAATTAAATAATTTACTGTAAAAATATATTTTATATAATAAGGAATAGTAGTAGTGGTGATAGAGCAGATACGAGCATATGGATCACCTGATGGAGACAACGATTCGCCTATGGACCCCCGCATCGTCAGAGGAGATTCGAATCTGTTACCAGAAATTTGAAGACTGGAAAATTGGAGATTGTGCATGGGGGGAGGGGGGAGGGAGATAACTCCTCACTGACACAGCGAAACAATGCAAGCGTTGTTGCACGCCGGTTTTCCAAGCTGCGGTAACATCAAACTGGTCGAGCCGGCCGGCGGGTTTTATATTAGTTATATACTTCGTTTAACATTAGACACAAAGGTGTGTGACAATTCTAATATCCTTTGTCATATTATGTAGAGCTTACCTTTGACCTGTGACACATAAAGGTATGTTGTGTATAATGTAAGTCATAAGATAGTGTTATGACTAGTACTGGTATAAATCAAATTACATAGCTGATGTTTTCTTTTTCAAATGCTTATAAAACTGTCATTCATGCTTAGTTTTTAGACCATTCTTCTTTTTGTCCGATAAGCATGTTTCGAATGGTATCCATGGCAGTATACAAAACTAGGTTATAGCCGTATTCTTTTTGTCTCAATGGATGACTTTTGTATAGAAAGTAAAGACCAAAAATTCAGTATGAGCGCTAAAATAAGGTAAGATTTCAAAAATTTGAATATCGCTTTATTTTTGCTGGTCTTTAGATATGACTTTTACTGATGATCACAGTTAGGTTTCATGTGAAAAATGGACAAGACTCTCAAAGATTACTCAATACAACATGATTAAATTCACTAACTAGTAAGGACTACGAAACAACAATGCTCATCAACTCGGTAGCAACTAGCCTAGCTTGACCATGAACAACAAATATTAAATTTGTAATACCAATTAGCACAAATTAGTCAATTCGAAACAGTAATTTTCACACAAATTTAAGTTATTATCAATTTCGAAAGCTTCTTTTATGATTTATTTTATTTTATTACAAGCTTTTATTTATAAATATTGCATCGGCTGTACGCAGTTCAAGCAATAACAATGTCGTTTATTTAATAACGCTGCGGTCGATAAGAGTGCAAACTGTTATAGTAGGACATTGACATTAAACTAATAATTATTATTATTAAACTTATTTTTATTTTGCCAGTGTCAGTCTGCGTGAAGATATGATAATTGTATTGGTCAGAAGAGTCATAAATTGCCTATGGTGAAGGGAGCCAAAAAGCTATTTAATACTTAAGCAGTAGATAACACTGAGTCTGGTAGTACCGGCAGTCATCGACGATATAGAATCGTTAAGGCATAACCTATCTTTCTGCGCGCGCCTCAATGAGCCAATACACCACCACAGTCGGGGCCCTAAAGGGCTGATGTTTAGCCGGGGCTGCGGGGTAAGCGCAATGAGGCACCGCGACCTCAGCCCAGAGCAGGAGAAGGAACGGGAAGTTTTTAGTCAGTAAGAGTCTGACACTCTCTCTCGCCTTACCCTGGGCGGGGGAAGTCATTGGATGATTTTCCCCTGACAAAAAAAAGGCATATCCTATCTGTTAATGCCACTTCTTTGTCTGTCATAAATAAGGTCGTATTTCGCTAGGTAACGATTCTTTTATGATTATGTGATATTTAACTCGTGGTAACAATCCTGGGTCAAATCCAATAATGACTTATTCATCATCAGCCTATAAGTGCCCACTGCTGAGCTAAGCCCTCTTCTCATACGGAGAAGGTTAGAGCATTAATCACCACGCCTTGCTCAATGCAGGTTGGCGATTTCAAACTTATTATTAGAAATTATACCTAAATGACTTATTACTTTCACCCAAAATCTATTGGTTTCATTTTGATGCTCTGACAATAGAAAAACAATAGCCATAATCGAATTTATTTTAATAAATCAAATGATATCATAGTTATAAAGTAATGTGCGAAATTAACTGATGTACCTAGTACAAATAATCTTAGTACCTATGATATCTATATATCGTGGAAATATCGAGTACCTATATGCCTATTATGGGCAAATTGAAAAAAGCCTCCCCTAACTATTGATTCAAACCACCAATTACTGACCTATTCTTAATATTATTTTCTTCTTCTTTATTTGTTTAATAATGTAAGTACAAAAGTTATATTTAATAAAAAAAATCATTCACCAAATCAGTAAAGCACAATTAATAAAAGTTAAAATAAGTAAAATTTATACGTTTGAGCACTTCATTTAACTATACCTAGGTATATAACATTTTACTTGTTACCTAATCTGTGAACAACAGCGCGAGTTACATCGTAACCACGTCTAAAATTTACTCTAAGTACTTATGTTTATTAATGGACATATTTTTGTACCAAATAAATAAAATAAAATAATAAAATTTCAGATATGCTATTTAGTACAAAATGATTAATAGTGGATACTTCAGTTCGATTCAGTTCCAGCTGAAACTAAAGTCCAGTATGTATGTATCGATAGGTATGTACATTTATTATCAATACCGGAACCAATATTAATATAGCTTGTCCATGAAGTCTATCCTATAATAAATCCGTAGTACCTATTCTACCTATTCGTGTACATAATTACCTAAGTAAAATTTTTTATGGTGATATCAATTTTTCACTTCCCAAAAACCTTTTCATTTTGTGTAAAATTCATCTTTAAACAGGAAGATTCAGTATATAAGTCGGTCTATCAGCGAAACTAGGTGCTCGTTCCAATTTTAAATTTGTATGAAGAAAAACTATCAAGAAACCAATTCGTTATCCCATTCACAACATAGTATAAAACAATCAGCATTGCAAGCAGACAGGGTCGGGTCTCATCACGCTACGATTGAATGGAGCCGAGCAGCGGGTGAAACAGCGCGAGAGTAGCTAGTTTAAAATTAAAATGTTTTATATAGGTACATTGTACGTCAACGCAAGAACGAAATGAATGTTTCACAGACAATAAAGTTAGATATCTATGTTCGTATAGGGACAGGGAAAAACAGAATCCGATGATACGATATAGGTAATGATAAAAATAAATATTGATTGCGTCCGGCTACCAAGCGCATGTTTATTCCCCCAAGGCATACCTACTCCCACCCACTTTCGATCGGAAATCTAATTAGTCTTAAGGTTCCATGGTAACAGAGTGAGCATGTTGCTGAAAACAATTATGCGTCGTGGTATTTCGTATAATGGAGAATTACTCATTACACGGACATGGTATTAGGAAAACTTTCGATGAACTACTTAGATGAAGATTTCAAAGAAGCGATGAACGAAAGATAGAAATATAATCAGTTTCGTAACGAAAACTGTTTTTAAACAACATAGTTATTTGCATTAGGTACTATAGTGTGTTAAAGGCTGGCAGACGACACAGCCAAAGTACAAGGAGCATATACAATTATAGATATCCCTATAAGCTGGCTAGCTGGATAAGGAATGCAGTGGTTTTTATTCAGTAAGAGTCTTAAACGGCCTTTCGTCTCAACTAAGGCGGGAGAAGTAATTTGATGACACTGCCACACAAAAAAAAATGATATAGATAATTTTCTTTGGGTGTAAGAAGAAAAGTAATAATTAAAAATATCATTCCTGATAACCCAATAGAAAAAGGAATCATTGAATTTATAAATTAATGTAAGTAAGTACGTTAAGTACCTATTGAAATAATATTCAAATTCTTAATCAAATAAAATCGGGTGTACGTTTCATAAACTAGATTGCGGTGTAATACAATCACACGCGCTGCCATCTATATTTGGACACAATTCATGTCAATAATATCCTTTTGTTGAACAACTTCGCGTTATATTTGTGTACTTTATACTTATACCTATCTGAACTATTTGACAGCGTAGGTACACACGTACACACGTGTGCCAAGATAGACCATTATAAATAATCAAAAATTGCATGTACCTACTGTGTGTCGATACCACAATATATAGAAGCATCTATAAAGGTCAAATTATATATTCATAATACCTTAGTCATTAACCACGACTACATTAAAATCAATCTTGAAAACATAGTTTTTATATGAAGTAGACAGGAATGTAATATAAACCAACATTTTGATGGCAAACAGAGAGGCTAAGTATGCGTTTTATACTTCGCTTAGCATTGTCACTTGGCAACACATGTGCGTTACATTTTCCTATAGTTAGAGCTTTGCAATAGATGACAACTTCCTATACCCACGGAATTTCATACGTAAATAAATAATTACACTAAGGCAATATTGTGTTTTTGTAATAAACTCTTATATAGGTACAGAGCTTTATGCTTGATGTAGAACCAAACCCCAGATAGAGTCGATAGTCGCAAGCTGAACCGTCATTGAACCGAAAGTACCTATAAAAAACCAATACTTTAGCTGACTGTCCGCACAGCGTAATAAAATTCGAGCGGATTTATTGCACAATATTGAATCTTATGGAAGTACCCGCAGAGGCGATAAAAATACCTCACTATAAAAAACCTGCGATAACTAATGCAGATTAGATACTAATGTTTTGTGTCTCACTATGCCATACATAGGCGAATGTAGATTTCAGGACACTCTACTTATATTGATATCGATGTATGATACTTTGACGCCTATAACACGGAGAGTGCTCTGAGGTATCGTTAGTTGATCCCCGCTTCATCTTTTTGCCATTGACCCACGCAAATACACTTTTATCCCCATTACATAGATGGTTGGTAGTCAAAGTAGAAACTTCCTGCCTCGTACTTATAGCAAAACGTTGAAATGAACTTTTGGCAGCGGTACTTCCGAACCGTTACGACCCTTAAAACGCCGGCAGCGCGCCTGTGTCTTCTCTGGTGTTGGGTGTACATGGGCAGCGCTAATATACCATCGCTAATGTTTCAGGTGAGCGTCTGCTCGTTTCCCTTTTATTACTTAAAAAAACGAGGATGTCTATAAGTATGGAAGTTATTGATGTTTGTTTGTTATCAAAATAATAAATCTTATTCGCTAAACGTACCAATAAGTAATTGAGATCGCGAATTTTAACTCCTGCGGTGAAATTCCGCTGTGCGGACAGGCTATAAAACGTAACATGAACCCATTTACAGAAATAATGATAGACATATGACATGACCTCATTTCTCCCTGCAGTTAGGACCATACTCTAATAACAGTAAAATATCTATGTAGATGATATTGGTCACAAATAACACACTTAAATTATTACCTGCATTTCCAGTAGTAGTTTTGTACATGACTCCGTACTATTGCATCGTTCAGTTCCCGTTTGAACAACCGTAACTGCTCTCAGTCTATAGGGGAATGATCTCAATGCGCTCTGGTCTCCATCACTAGTATCCCATTGGGATCTGCTGACTAACTGCAACGGACGCTCCACTGGTGGTAAAATATTTTCTGTAAGGGAGGTACGTATTACTAAAACAGATATATATTTGTGTGTAGGAACCACAGAAACTACAAAATATTACCAGAGCCATTATTATATTTAATTAACAAAATAAAAATACAAGCCTATTTTAGAAAATTGAATTAGGCGATCATAACAACTGAACAGTACCATGATTGCTAGAAATATCAAATAAACTGTTATCATGTAATACTAACCAGAATCATTCTGTAAAATGAGGAGATATATGCCAATGATGACACCAGCAATTAGGATCACAAGGAGCAAGCTGACAATGACAGTTGTCACTGGATTCCGTTCAGACCCATTGTTTGGGAACCGATGGAGCAATGGAGTGTTTTCTTCTGGAGTTACCGGAGCAGGAGACTCTTCCTCAGTGTGATTGGTATTATGCCGAGTCTCATGGTCTGTGAAACACTTGTCCAAATAAGTTAACTCTTCACAATTAATATTTTTTAAATCCATAATGCACATCTGAGTTAGGTTAGAGGTTTAGTAACACACTAAACACTTTAATTGAATAATGTATTAACTGATAAGCAAAAATTCCCATTGTTCTGACTATCAATACAAACAGACAGGATAAGGATGTTAAATAACAGAGATAAACAAAAATAAATCAATTACAGTTTAAAATTCGCAGTGGCAGCTCCATTGTGATTTTTTAAAAGAAAACTAAACATAGGAGCTGGTAATGTGATAAATTAAAATGTTATTTAACTAAATCACTGCACTATTTTCACTCAGCCATTGTAATAGATTTCATCTATCACTAGACTGCCCCGTTAGAAGTATTTATGAAATGAATATGCCTCAGGTTGTTGCTTGTATCTACATGTGGTCCACACTGTGATATCATATCATATCACCAATATCATATTACCGTGCGATATACGGAGCCGTTATCTACCTACGTGCTCGCAGATTACGTCAAAAACAATAGTGACTCGTCACAATTTGTTTGGTTTGTTTAGATTAGAAATAAACTTAGATTAAATCACAAAATATATCATAAAACTTAAGTAAACAAACCTCTATGACCTTGGATTTAAGTAAAATATTACAAAATATATTTTTTTTATTTAGTTTTAAAACAATGAACACAAAGAACATAATTGGTTTACAAATAATATTGAACTCACCAACAGAATATAAAGGCTGCATCTTTACAATAAATAACACGTAACACTGACCACTTTATTTAATGATTTCTCTCACTACGACATGACCAACAGTTTCAAATATCGACCCATAATGAGTAATTTATTAAGGAAGAACGAGAAACAGAGGAAAATAATGATATTGATAACTTCAGGAAAACAAATCAGTGTACTTCAGTTTCGCTGTCAATCTGTCACGTCAAATAATGCGTCACTGTCACAGACACTAATGTCAAATAGACACCCAATGGGACTTTCGTTGGTAGTGGTGAAGGTTACGCACGTGCTTTTATCGGTGCTACGATTGTTGTCAATTTTAGTGATCTTATTCATAGTGAACTAAATTGAAACCCTTTTATTTTTGTGTTGTTTAATTGTGTGTGTGTAAGTTTTAATAAGGTATTGTGTAGTCTTAAGTTTTAACACTTGTTCTCTCTTCCCACCGTTCCTACTTTTTTTTAATAATGGACGAGGAGAAACCCCCTGATCCTCCCGACAAATCCGATTATAATTCTATTTTATGCACGACCCTCCCTCACGACAACCAGGAAAATGAACTAATGGATTCTGAATGTAATCTTAATAGAAAGCGACCGGCAGGCTCCCCCGTTATCTCCCGCGTCAACCCTCCGAAGTTGATGAAAAGCATCAATGGTAGGCAGTGCTATACATCTAAAGACAACCCCCCTTATATTGTTCATGTTTCACTCAAGGACTCCCAGACGACTGGCACTACCCTTCATCCAATCAAATTCGGGATGTTCTTGACGAAGAATAATATAAACAATATTAAAATTGGAGGAGTGAAGCGACTCGGTAGGAATAGAGTGTCGGTCGAGTTTGTCTCTCACCAAGACGCTAACAGTTTCCTCGTTAACTGTGTTGTAGCACAAAGTTACATTACCTCAATCCCTCAATACAACATCACAAGAATGGGTATTGTAAGAGATGTTCCCATTGAGTGGACAGAGGAGGAAATAATCAGGAACATCAAGGTTCCCGCTGGATGTGGTATTGCTATCAAAGCAAGACGTATGAACCGTAAAGTGTCAACAGAAAATGGTACAGAGTGGAAGCCTACTCAGACTGTGGTTCTCACTTTCGATGGGCAAATTCTTCCAAAGAAAGTTTTTTGTTTTTACTCGGCACTCCCTGTGGAACAATACACATACCCTACAATACAGTGTTTCAACTGTTGCCGTTTCGGGCACACCCGCACTCTATGCCGCTCCAAGCCGCGTTGCTTTAGATGTGGCCAGGATCATCCTGGTGATGGATGTTTAGTAGCTGAGGAGGCTGCACATTGCATTAATTGCAGTGGCAACCATTTCGCTACTTATAATGCTTGCCCTGAATTAGGTCGCCAGAAGAGCATTAAAGCTCTAATGGCAGAAAAGGCAATCTCCTATGCGGAAGCAAGCCAGGTATTTCCCTCAGTCAAAAAGTCATATGCCGAGGTATCTAAACCCAAATCCACCAACTACATCCAATTGACCCCAACCAAAAAATCATCCCCGCAGAGACTATCCTATAAAAAAACTGTCCATGTCAAACCCAAATCCCATGCTCCTCTTTCTCCCAGCTATGATAAGAAGGCCCACCAGGCCCTTATCCATAATTACTCCTTTTCCCCATCCCAAAATGGTTGCGCTTTCCCTGTGGAATCCGGAACCCATAGCTCTAAAAACATTTTAGACATAATTTCCAGCATGCTCATGGCAGTGTTATCCAACCCTGACCAGACCGTACCTGACCACGTTGCCCATAGATTAGCCACCATCCTAGATTATATTTATAAAATTCCATCCACTAACAATTCTCCAGTGGAACGTGAGGAGTACTCTTCCCAGGAAGAGTGACTTGCTACACCTAATTAACAAATTCAAACCATCAATTTGTGGACTTGCTGAGACATGGCTCCGACCGAATATCAATTTCGGGATCCCGTGTTTCAGTGTTGTCAGACATGACAGATCTGATGGTTATGGAGGATGTGCTTTGTTAGTTAATAACAAAGTACCCTTCACCCAGATCCCTCTACCCTTCGTTGGCGATGACATAAATGTTGTCGCTGTTAAGGCTGAGGATATAAATATTTTTATGTTTTATATTGCGCACCCTAATACTAATCATTTGGCCATAATAAAAAATTTACTTATGTCAGTGAGTGGCCCATTACTTGTAATGGGCGACTTTAACTGTCACCACTATAGATGGGGTTCCGATACCTGCGACAACATAGGTAGCGAGTTTGTAGAAATGATAGATGAGCTTAACCTATGTGCCATTAATGACGGCAGCCCAACCCGTAGGTCTGAATTTGGGCAAAGAAGCAGTTGTGTAGACTTAACCTTCTGCTCACCCAATATGGCAAGCGTGCTGAATTGGAGCTGTTTGAATATGACCTATGGTAGTGATCACTATCCCATAATAATCAATCACCTCTCTAAATCTGTCCCCGATAAATCCCTCCCCCCTCTCTTAAAATATCGTTTAGAAAAAGCAGATTGGGACCTGTATTCTAAATTGTTAGATCTCCGCATTTCTTCCCTCCCACTTATTAACATTGAGAATGCCATGGAATGTTTTTCAAAGTTTTCGGAACTGATATCCTCTACAGCTGAAGATTGTTTCCCTGTGAAAAACACACCAAAAGGCAAAATCCCCTCCCCTCCCTGGTGGGATAGTGAATGCACTGCCATGATAAGAGCCAGGAATGAGGCCGAAAAGGCATATAACCGAGACATGAACCTGGAAAATCTCCTTAATTTCAAGCAGGTGTTGGCTAAGTCAAGGAAACTTTTTAAAAAGAAGAAGAGGCAGGGCTGGCAGAGATTCTGTAGCTCCCTGAGCCCATCAACACCGATAGCAACAGTTTGGCGAAGGGTGAAGAGCTTCAGAAATTCCATTAAGCCTAATTCAACTCCTATCTTGCCTGACGATCTGAGTCACAGTTTCTTTACCAAAATTGCTCCTCTGTATGTTCCCGGTGAGGAAGAATGTTGTTTGGGACATTATGAAGAATCGCGTGACCCGCTTGATAGGAATTTCTCCATGAATGAGCTCCAAATGGTTCTAAACCATGTAAAAGACTCCGCTCCAGGAATTGATGGGTTCCCTTACTCCTTCTTGGTGAAAGCAGGACCCAAAACCAAACAGTACTACCTTGACTTAGTGAACTTCTGTTTTACTTTCGGCTATATTCCTCCTATCTGGAAGGTTCAGGTTATTATGCCGCTGTTGAAAGCTGGCAAGGATCCTGGTGACCATTCGTCTTATAGACCTATTGCCCTATCGTCCATACTTATAAAAATTTTAGAACATCTCATAAAGACCCGGTTGGAATGGTCGATGGAAGGCCGGGGGCTGTTCCCGGCGACTCAGTTCGGCTTCAGGAAAGGTTTGGGTACGGCTGACAGTGTGGGTACCCTCACGTCAGCCGTCCGACTGGCCCTAGGCAAGGATGAGTCGTTGGTGGCGGTCTTTCTGGACGTCTCATCCGCCTATGACTCGGTCCTCCTACCCCTTCTCAGGCAAAAGCTGCAAGAGCTGAGAATCCCGAGTAGGATTTGCCAAATTATAGGCTGCATCCTTTCCAACCGCACCCTCCAATTGAGGACTCCTGGGGATGAGCCTTCACAGAGAACATCTTGGAGGGGCTTGCCTCAGGGGTCTGTCCTTAGTCCCATCCTGTTTAATATCTATACCTATGACCTCCCTTCCTGTCTAAATTATGATTGCAGAGTCCTTCAGTATGTTGACGATATCGCATTAATGGTCACTAGCAGCTCTATAACAGATGCTACCACCTCCATGAATGTCTCTTTGTCCTCATTACACCAATGGCTTCTCAATCATGGGTTGTCTTTAAGCGCCCCAAAAAGCTCAACTGTCATTTTTTCCCGCAGACGTCGCCTTCCAGACATTCATATAGAGATAGACGGTCAGCCCATTCCAGTTATGAGGAAGGCTAGGTTCTTGGGCGTCATCCTCGATTCTAGGATGTCGGGGGTAGACCACGTAGAAGCCGTAGTTAGAAGATGCGAGCGTTCAGTGTGTGTTCTCAGAGCACTAGCTGGGGTATGGTGGGGTGCTCACCCTTACACGCTGAAACTCGTATACAATGCATTGGTCAGAAGTGTGATGGACTATTGCTGTTTTCTTATGGCGCCCTGCAATAAGCAAGCACTTAAAAAGCTAGATTCCATCCAGGCCAAATGCCTAAGAATAATTATTGGAGCTATGAAGTCTTCCCCTATAAACGCTCTTCAGGTTGAATGTGCAGAGCCCCCCCTCGACCTTCGAAGACAATACCTGGCAGACCGTTTCGTTTCTAAAGTCCTGACCCGCTCTTCTCATCCCCTGCTTCCTATCCTTGAGCAAATCCATTGTTCCTATGGTTCTTCTCCATATTGGAACAATAAACCTGTCCCACCCGTGATTGTTAGGTATAGGGAGCTTAAAAACCTCTCTGCACCCATCAGTCAATACCCTATCCTTCCGGTTTTCTCTTCCGCATATGAGGTTATTCACTTTAGGCCAAAGCTGGTTCTGAGTTTGGGCATTTCAAAGTCATCAGTGGACGCCAAGGGTGATTTTGAGCGCGCGCTGAGCAATTACTGGCACGGCTGGAATATGTTTTACACGGATGCATCCAAATTGTCCCGAGATGGATGCACAGGAGTGGCAGCATATTACCAGAACTCAAGAATTGCTCTGCTCTCCAAATGTCCCCCTGAAGCCTCCGTGTTCACTGGGGAATGCGTTGGCATTCTGGAGTCCATCAAATTTATTAAATCGCACAACCTCAGCAACTCAGTTATCTTCTCAGATTCTCGAAGCAGTCTACAAGCGCTCGGTCAAGATCAGCTTTATTCCCGGACGCATTGTAGTCTGATAGTGGAAATAAAATCTTTACTTTTATCCTGCCAAAGAGACGGACTAAATATTGAGATCGCATGGATTCCTGGCCACTCTGGTATATGCGGTAACGAGTGTGTTGACAGATTGGCAAAGTTTGCGGCCGTGAATAACGTTGAACGTCACCACTATATTGTGTATGGGTATGACATACGTGCCGATACTAAACTCAAGCTCTTCGACTCGTGGGCTACAGTGTGGGCGGACTCCTCTAAGCGGAAAGGAGCTTACTATGCTAGTATCCAGACCGATATCCAGCGGAAACCTTGGTTCTCCAAGCACAAGAAACTCCCCAAACACACTGTTTCGTCTTTGTGCAGACTCAGACTCGGCCACTGTACTAGCCCGGTATTCCTCGCCAAGATACGCGTACGTGACAGCTCGCTGTGCGAATGCGGTCTTGATGAGGGTACCCTAGACCATATATTTTTTTTCATGCCCTCTTAATTCCCAGTCCTTTGACCTATATGGAAAGCTTCCCAAAATCCAAATCCCACTCCCAATCAACTTCCACTCCCTTCTAACTAATTTTTCCCCCAAATTAATTAAGTGTCTGTCCAAATTTATGAATGAAAATAATATTAAAATGTAGCGGTGTGTAATAATGTAAATATTGTATGTGTTATAATTATTATGTATATATATATATATATATATATATCTAATTATCTATTAAGCGTAAGGTAAGTATAGTAACTGTAGGTTTATAGATGATATATGTTTACTAACCCAAATGTTTTGTCCTTTTCAGCTACTAACAAGTAAATACTACCACAAAGTTAAAAGTCGACGGTACAGTACTCTGCCGTCACCACTCGACACTGGCAGTATAGTCGACAACATTATATTGGAGACTCAGTTGCTAACAACAACAAAAAAAAAAAAAAAAAAGACACCCAATGCTTACCAATGCTTGATGCTTGATGAGGCGTGATGCTACCCAATGCTTGATGATGGCTTGGACGTACAAATGTAAAACACACAGCTTGAGTTCTCGTTAAATTTTTTATTTGTAATTATTATTTAGTTATGCCACGTATGAATAAAACAGTAAGCTAACCGTACAAAATAACCCTTAACTTGACTTTGTACGAACAAATAATTGGTACTAAAGTACTTCTAGATCGTAATTATTGAACCTACAGATTTATAAATAGTAGATAGAACGAAGAGTTTTATGTAGGAGCAGAACAAGAATTATAAGTACAGTTTTCTTGAGATATTAGTTGATTATCAAAAGAAAATGATAGTATTCGAAATGCCTATTGGATAAGCTCAATTGATTTGACAGGGTCCAACCGAGCAAAAGACGGTTTAGTCGATTTTAACCACTAGTCATTTTGACGTTTGTGGTTGTCAATATTTTATTTATTATCTGTTGCACAAACTACGGCGATTACGGTGATCGAGTGACTACTCTGACTTCGTTTCCTTTTATTGATTTTGATAGACCTGAAAATAAAACTATTGCATTCTTGACTTTGTATTTATAAGTGGAACTCATCCAACTACTTGTTGACGAAAGTGTTGTCAAGAGTAGGAATTATGAGAGTTCAAAGAAAAATCAAATTGTTACCCTGACCCTTTGTCAAGTTAAGAGGTTTTGCGAATTTCGTCAAACGCTCTTCCATAATATTGCGTTTGTTCTCAATACCTAAATACATTTACGTCTACGGCTGATTATGACGATCGATTTTAGTGTTATTCACGTGAACCTAGTTGAAGAACATACTGTTTAGCACCTGCTACCTTCGTAGGACGATAACAAGAAGTCGTCGGCTTTTTTTGGTTGAATGTAGCCATTGAAGTCGTACTCTTGAAATAACAAAAAGTACAGTGCAGTTTTTCGTGAAGTTATCTATAATTAGCATATAATTTGTTAAGGTAAGTACTAAGTAGTGTACTTTATATATTCTTAAACATTACACTACCTAAATAAAGCTATTTTTAAGTTATTATTTGTTGTTTTTGCGAAGTAAACTGTCTCACACGCTGTACACACTGTATAAACCTTTAATAATATTCAAATTCTATCACAAAATATATTTTTTAATTACTATAGAATGATGCCAATTTTTACTCTATAAAGAAAACTATAAAGAAAAAGTATAAGAATGTTGAAATCATGACAAAAAAAAAAAAAAAAAAAACAAAAACTGAAAAATGTGTGTCCTATTCTTTTGTATGTTACAAAGCACATTTGAACATCATTTATGTTCAAAACATTATTTTTTATCTCAATTCTTTTATCTTTTGTGCATATCTTGTAATCTGCATAGCTATTGTGATTATGTATGTCACATTCATTTATTGTTACATTTTACCATTCTGGAATTTGCAATGAATAGATAATTGTACTTAGATAAAAACCTCTTAAAATATATACAGAGAAAAAGGTACATTTTTCTGTCTTGTACATTTTATCTTTATTTTGATTGGCAAGCAAAATAAACTCTGAATGTACATGCACTGTGTTGCTTTGTACCAGATTTTGAAAAAAGAACATAAATTGTATCAACAATGTGTAACATTGGGTTATAAGGGACTTACATTTTAAATATTATATATGAAAAGTTTCTGATTTGTTTAATTTTTTTACCAAGTGCTAAATTATAAACACAACCTGGTGTACAAGTTGTATGAAAAAGTTCATAAATATGTGCACAATAGGATCCAAGTTATATGTATGCATGAGTTTTGACCTTAAAACTATCTTTGACATTATCAATACATATATATTTTGCATTTTTTTGCATTGCCTCCTCACTATTAGTGTGTATTTCCGCTGGCTGTGTATACCCACAATCTTGTGCAACAGATATTGCTCAGCAATTTTAAATTTTTATAAAGTGTTGCTCATAAGCGTAATCTGCGAATTTGTGATCATTATTTTTGTATGTCTTTATTTTTTTTTCTTTTTATCTTGATTGTTTCATCCTTTTTGAATTACATTTTTTGCCAACTTAAACTGTTATTATCTTTTTCTTTCTCATTTATTAATCACTTGCTGGCTTTAAAATCAATACTGCTACAATTAGCTCCTAGTTAACACAGATTAGTACTAGAACACCGGTAACGGTATTGATTTTTTAAATATTTAATGCATTGTAAGTGACACACTTTCACTAAGCTGGTGCTAATGCTATTTTAATATTCTGTAGTGGAGTAAGAAAACATCGCAAACGAAAGAGTTATAAGTCAAAAGTTATATGATTTGTTTATTCAAACAAGTTATGAATTTGCTCATGAGCAATCTCAAATATGTTATTCTTATTTTAAAATTGTATTCATTACAAGTTGTATATTTTTCAGGTATCGTAGAACCATTCAATGATACGAGAATTTTACGATAGTTCGGATGAAGATGACATGGAAAAACAGTATCAAATAGATCAAGAATGCTTGGTGACTCGGCCTGACTGCGACATGCATAACCGGTGCTGTGGTGGTAAAGCTTGGTGCATTAGGGTAAGAAAATATAGAAGCAATTAGATACTTCCAATAGAATAGCTTCATAACTCTAAAAAATTACCATAAATTTCTCATGTTTTTATTTCTTTGCAGGACATTTGCGGTATAATATGTGCAGTGTTAACATGGCTCCTGATATTGTATGCGGAGTTCGTTGTAATGATGGTGATGCTTCTGCCAGGCGTCTCCACATACCCGGTGTATAGTTACATTAACATATTCATATTCCAAAGCCTGGCATTCCTTGCATTTGCATCACATCTCAGGACCATGTTTACTGATCCAGTAAGTTGTAAATATAATCTGTTATAAACCTTGCCTTGGTTACTATGTACATAGTAACCAAGCCAAGGTTTACATATGATGATGAGGAAATCAGTATGTATCATAACAATGTTGTAGGTCTAAGGAACAAGTATTTCAAGTTGATTTGCAAATCCATTCAAGCTATTTATTGCTTGTTTGTTTTTAGGGTGCCGTTCCGAAAGGTAACGCGACAAAGGAAATGATTAAGCAGATGAGTTTCCGAGAGGGTCAGTTGATATTCAAGTGCACTAAGTGCTGCAGTATTAAGCCAGAACGAGCGCATCACTGCTCAGTCTGCCAGCGCTGCATTAGAAAGATGGACCATCACTGCCCTTGGGTTAACAACTGTGTTGGAGAGAATAATCAAAAATATTTCGTTTTATTCACGGTAAGTATTTTAAATAATATTGTCAGTTATTATATATACATAGTTTTGTAACCGTCCTCGCATGGTGCAAAGGACCGTTATCCGCAATTCTATAACTGACTGTTAGCACGTGCTTCGCGTGCGCCAAGCTATTATCATCTATGCTCATCAAATGAAGCCATTATTTAAAACACTTGAATAGAAAAGCCAGTTAGCTTATAGCATTTATTTTTGTTCTAACTATAATATGATTGGAACATATAGTTTAAATGGAAATAAGACGTAGCTTAGAGAGAAAATACATTTTCTGTTATAAAATTTAAGCTTTAGAGATAAACTTATGTTATTCGTGATAAAAAGAAGTTTCCTACGTGTCTAATTGTTAATATTTTTTAATAGTTCTACATAGCGGCTATATCAATTCACGCGGTGGGTCTCGCGGTGTACCAGTTCGTGACGTGCATTCGACACGAGTGGCGAGACTGCAGTGCCTACTCGCCACCCGCCACCGTCGTCTTACTGCTGTTCCTGATCGCGGAAGCATTACTATTCGCCATTTTCACCGCCGTTATGCTTGGCACTCAATTACATGCCATATGGAACGATGAAACCGTAAGTCTATATCATTAAAATCGATATCGATTGAACTTTCCTTGTATCTCGGCCGAGTCCTATTTATTCATTGCATAACTTGCATTTATTGATGACCGTCTATTGGCCCAGTATGATAGTGTACTTAACAGTTTTATTGCGTGTTTACAGGGTATAGAGCAGCTTAAAAAGGAGCAAGCCCGATGGGTCCGCAAGTCTCGATGGAAGAGCATCCAGTCGGTTTTCGGCAGGTTCTCCATACTTTGGTTCTCACCGTTCACTCAACCTTCACCCAAGACGAAATTGGAAAGCTATCTCTATAGTGTTTAGTGCTGGCGCTCAGTAAACCCGAATGAGGAAAATATCGAGGCTGCATACGAACATTGTAAATAGTATTAAACATTGGTCTATGACACACAGGTATTATAGTTATACCTAGAGACCTTACAATGTAGTCAATTGAACTATTGAACTATTTGTAGTCAATTGAAACTAATTCAGGAAGGTCCGATGCCATCAGAATATTAGAATAACAAGTATTTTATATAAATATTGCTTGTAGCGATATCTGATGATTAATTCTTGAACTTCTCTGAACTTAGATCAATTGACTCCTACTCCTTCCTAGTTCTCCTCATATTTTCCGCATTCGAGTCTTGCGTGGAATAGTTTTATCGCCACATCCATACATACATACATACAAACGTACATAGTAGTGTAACATACATCATAATTCCATACCTACATCTCAATGTATTATTAATTTTAATCGTTTTAGCTTTCTTGAGAAGCAGTTGAAATTGAAAGAATTAAGCAGTCAAGTTGGTCTTTGGATGCACCATGCAATCTTGCCTTCGAGGCCAATATCACATGTTCTTATTGATGTAATTTAGTCACTCTCATCTCACTATGATTGACTATGACTGACAACGGAATTTGTAGAGTATAGATAGTTATGAAACCAAACATCTGCATTTACTAATACTAATTTAATTGTTACAAATATTTATCACAAATGGATTAATGATATATAAAATTATTCTGGTATAGGTAAGGTTATAAGTAAATAGTTACTGAAACATTTACACATATTTACATATACAGTTTCGAAATGTAAGCATGTAGGCGTGTGGCGCATCGTACGCACACAATTCTCGTGTTGGTCTCGTATGGAACCATAAAATAGAAACATTAATCTTAGGCCTCGATGTTGTACTAAATTTTTAATAAATAATATTATTATTTATCAAGATCATCATAGATCTCTTTAATATAATTGTGGTATTAAGTTCTTGTGCTATGATAAAAGTTCAAATCACAAATTATATATTATTATAGATAAGTTAGCAAATATCTATCTATGCAATAAAATTAATGCTTTATCTTTCGTAAAGTATTGCTTTTTGTATGTATCTTGTAACAAAGTTACTATACGGATTAGGTATAGCGTAGGATCTCTCTATACTCATCTGTGATGAGTATATCTATGAACTTGGTTTTGCCTGGAATCAGATATTTGCCTTGACTACAGAATAACGATATTCTGATGAGAAATGAATGCAGACTGGTCATTGTTAATTCCATAAAGTTTTAAAAAGAAACTATTTGTTTTTGTTGCGTAATCATGATTATTATTAATTTTAAATTGAATTGATTGTGATTGTATTTATTTCGTTGTAATTATTGCTTTCATTATTTTGTTACACATGTAAAGTTTATTTCTTAAGTATAGGCCGATTAATGGCCGCGGGAACAAACAACTCGATAGTTATACATATTTTTATTTCTTGGTTTTAATGGCGAGTTTTAATGTGAACGATAGGTTGCAACGCTGTTGTGATATATTAAGTGTAATCTAATTAACATCTTTAAGTAAATATATCATTTTGCTTCAGTTTAAGCAATAGCGGATTTGTATTATCCCTCATGATAGACTTAACTTGTTATAACTATTTATAGGTCAGTTTGGTGTATAAATTATTTAAACAAACGCTTATCCTTTTGATACGTTTGTAGATTTTTCAATTATTTAGATTCTTGTGTATTTTAATTAAGTTACGGTAGGAGAAAGCGTCTGCAAATGATATCGTGAAGTTACCCAGTAATGAATATTTATCATTCTCCCTCGTAAGCTTGAGTGAGGTTACTGGAGGCCCAATATTGCAACCCACATCCCACCCCAATCCTTAAATCCACAAAACCCCTTATCTTCATAATGCCGACAACTCACTTGAACTGCTCCGGTATTGCGAGTATCCATGGACGGCATAGATTGCTTACCATCAGGTAATCAACATGCTCGTTTGCCGGCGTACCTATCACATAAAAAATTAAGTCTTATGACGTTTCCTCAAGTCAGTATGACAAATTATTTAAAAAGTTGACTAACCAATGCTAAGACATCTATGACACAATAATTTATTTGTGTGGCAATGTAGCTCTTCTCATAAAACCTATTTTCGATTATGCCTCGTTGCATATTTACTCCTTGTTATTCTTACATTTTTTTTGCGATTGTATATCGAAGTCTTCGTGTGATAAATATGCATTACTTGGTATAAACGAAGGAGATATCTAATGCTTGCTCTAGAAGCTGTGGCTCGCGCGTTTGACCGCTTTACGTTGCAGTAAAGCTTAGTAGATATTTTAACAATAGCAATACTTAACCAGACCATGATTGGTAACTCTTATTATGCTTCAAATGACTGCATAATAATTAGATGTAAGCGTTTATCGGCGATTCTAGAAAGAACCGTAAACTTTGCAATAATTAGTGCTGTTTACATGTATTATTTGTTGTTATGTGTTAGCTAAGACTTAAGTTTTTGGAAAACAAATCTTTAACGGCTTTAATGCTTTTAGACTCAAGCTTAGAGCAAAAAATTGTGGCTCGGTTTAAAAAAATTTGATTCGCAGTTTTTTTTTACTGTGGTGATAATGTCGTCCTTATTAGCTGTGTCCACATCGGTCTTGATTGAGGAGCAACTTTGTTAACTCCGATTTAGACGCATCATTCCTCTGATGTACTTGTTTTCCATGTTATATTTGCAAGTACCGGCTACTCAGATCAACAATATCCTCCTCTATACTACTACTACTACTTTTCCATCAGTTTGATTTGTTTCGCGACTCTTGAAAGGCTTGAGCGATGTGGTCGTTGCATATCGTACAGTTATCACTACAATTTTGCATTCTATTCCTAGTTTCAATATCGCCTTAGGTCGTACCTACACATCTCAGGTAACACGAGACCCTTAATTAAAATTATAGAAAATGTAAAATCATAATAAATTCATTCGATGCCAACCGGAGCTGTATAAATCCATAATATTGCAAACATATCATATCAAAATTTTTGTTACATTACGTGAATGTTTTGGTGAAACATTCTGTTAGGTAATAGTCGTTTTTAAAGCAATATTGACGTCTACATGTAGTTTGCTAGTAAGTTATAATAAAGTAATATGCTCACTCCGGACGGCTGAATTTGTATTGTGTTTACTGCACTCGGCGTAATTAGGTGGCGTGTTTTTGTTTTTTGTATATCGAACATAATCGTTGAGCCTTAGAAGAAAATGTACCTCAATAATATTCTAAATATACCTCCATACATTCAAGAAGAGCAGGTTATCGCCTTCTTTCTATTACTTCATAGCGACCGTAGATATGTTAAAGTATATTAATCTATACATAATTGTGATGAAGGTATAATAGTCACTTATCAGTCATATTTACTTTTGCGGGTTTGTTACTATAACTTACAATTATTTTACTTCTTAATTAAGCTTTCTATTACGTTATTACGTAACATTTAAGACCTATGTTACGTTAGCTTCATAACTATTCTATTCTGAAATATTTTAGCTGTGTAAGTTTAAACCTATATATTTGATGGAAGCTAATTAATCAAAGTTAAGTAATGCAATTTGTAGCAATAATCCGACGATGTATTATCATATATTTTTTATAATTTGGATTAAGTACTGTCGTAGATGCCATTTTTAACGAGTGATTCATTGTTCACTAGAATTTTGCGAAGTTCATTGTACCCTACGTTGGTAGATGTTTTGGCATAATTTACATCTGAGCCGGAAGATGCTCCTTTCTCGATTGCTGGGTCAGAAAACTCCAAGGAGTAAAGCCATCTAACTATCAATGGCACCATCATCGACATACACAAAAATTTCGTCCAGCGGAAACTGGTTAGTACGATTGCACGGTGCCTTCATAGGAAGGGCAGAGTAAGCGCCGCGAATGCGGTCTCTATTGGCTTTGGCGTTAAATTGTATGAATCGATGCGTTTCAATTTCGCATACTTTACAAACCGCTGGTCCACCAAGATCTTAGAGAGCTCGTAATGATCTGATGGAGCCATGCCGATGTCTCCGTCGTCTACATGTGGTAAACAGCCTTTCCTCGTAAACACAAGCTTGATGCTTACGCGTCGTTTGAACCGACCTTCTTCGTCTTCTTGTTACCTTTATCGCTCAAAGAGAGTTCACCCGAAACCGGTCAGGGACGATGTGGTTTCGGTGAAGAAAGGTCCGAGACGAATTCAATCCTGAAACCTAAAACCAACTTAAGCTATACTTCTGATTGGAAGGAGGCCGTATAAGTCGAAGTCGAATCTAAATAAAACGTTACTGTTCTCTGTAAAGTTTAAGACTCCAATCCAATCCCAATGCGCTGATAGCAGATTGAGAATAGTCGATTTAAAAGTAGTGGTGGACATTTCAAATGTAATGAAATAAACCAATGCTCCACCTAACCTCACTTTAGTTAGAGCTTGGTGCTCAAGTGTTGGTGTTTCACGTCCGAGTTGTAATGCTGCGTCACGCATCTTCTATGCGTAGACACTCATCTTCCTCACGCTGCCTTTGAGCTGTTCTCTCCTCACGAACGACCATCTCTTTCCTTACGCGTACTCACGGTCTTGTTTTCTTTTCAGTTTCCGTTCTTCGGATTCATGCATCGCCTTTTGGCGATGCTCACTTGGTTCTTACAAAAATATCGAGCCTGAATCTACGATCTTTCTTCTCCTTTTCTTTATTATGCTTAAGGTCAACAAAGTTCAACATATTCTTACGCTGTCTCTCTCTAGACCATTCTTGATCGCGAAGGTGTCACTCGCTCTGATTGTAAGACCGGTTTACGCTGGAATCGTATACTTAATGAACTCCAAACACTACGGTAACTTAATCTAAAGGTCGAATATGACCTTTCATCAAATTCTCTTCATCATTGGCATAATACAAGGTACTGAACAGACTAGCATCCTGAATGTAAGTGGATTAAGTAATATAAACATATGTATTATATCATATTTTGCGTCATACTTAGTCATATGTCACTTGTAACAAATAATGCGCTGCCGATACAAAGCGTACGCTGTGCGCTTGTAAGTGATGAAATATTAGTGATTAAACTTAATGAAATGTTAAGTCTCGACTCACGTTCTCAGGATAGAAAATAGCCTTCACTGAAAATTGTGTCTTATTTTCTAAGTAATAGAATAAATAACACCAAGTTGTAGACCGTTGTACATTATTTTTGTTAAAAAGCTAGAGTAGCTTTTATTAATGTTTATGGGAAGTTTCAGTGGGTATCTGATTTGCTT